CTACTAAATCTGTCTACATTACAAGCCTGATGCATAGCTCTAAGCCTGCTTCCGTCTGTTCCAAGCACATCCTGAGTTTAAAGCCTCCCTCTACGTTTATTTATCTTACCTCATGTACCTCCTTTCACTCGTCCTCATTTCATCATACGGCTATGGCCTAGCTCTAAAACTACTTTTGCTTGATTTAAATATGTCATAAGCTTAAAGCTTAGCCTTGAACACAATACTACCAACTCTGACCTCATCATATGCCAGAGGCCTCGCTGTAAACTCACCTTTACTTTCTCTAACTTCAAAACACATCTCTAAACATAGTTTTGCTCACTCTAATTTCTTCATAAGCTTAGGGCATAGCTCTGTAGCTACGGCTACTTTCTCACCATAGCTTCATCAGAAGCATGATATCTTGTTATATTCCTCTTTTCATTCACTTTAGCTACCGTAGAAGCCCAAGGCCTAGATATTACTCATTTATTCATATTATTATTATTATTATTGTTATTCATATTTATATTATTCATAGCTATTATACCTATTATTCACCAACTTCAACTTTAAGACTTCCACTGCAGGCTTGTAGTAAATACAAATAGATTTAGAGTTAGTCCTTAGTCTCATGATCTAGTTAGACTGAACGGAAGGAGGTACATAGCAAGACATTATGCTTACGATGAAATTCGAGTAGTAGCATCACAGCTAGACCTCAAGCTTCCTCAGTTCACTACATTAAGGCCTGGGTGGGGGTGGGGAAGTAAGCCACCCTTTGCTTTTTCTAACATTATCATGAGCATGCGGCCTTGCACTGGTTTTTGCTTACTCTAACGTCAGCAATAGCCTAAGGCTTACCGCTTAACCTCCCTGTATTCACTGGCACTTTATCATTAGTCTGAGGACTAATTTTACTTATTCTAACTACATCATGAGCCTGGCGCCTGGCTCTACATCACAGAGCCAAGGCCTGGCTTCTAACCTACTTTTACTTACTCTCATTTCATCATACGTCTCTGGCCTAGCTGTAAACTTATTTATACTCACTCTAACTTTAACATGACACTAAGGCCTTACCGTAAACCTAGTTTTACTTACACATCAATTTACTCAATTCATCACAAACCTACAGTCTATCTATAAACACACTTTTACTTTGTCTAAATACAACAGAAGCCTGGGGCCTTGCTATGTACCTGTTCATACTTCCTGGAGCGTCATCATAAGCCTAAAACCTAGCTCCAACGTTACTTTGACTCATTCTAACTTCTTCGTTAACCTGATGCCCAGATGTAGAACTACTTTTATTACAGTCTAACAATATCACACGTCTAAATCCATGCTTTAGTCCTAAAGCCTAGCTCAGGGTTTTTTAATTGTGCTTTGGACAACACACCACACTACAGCGTATTCCAACTATTCCCTGCTCCTCTACCCATGATCCAGTTCATAATCACTTGATGAGCTGAATCAGGTGTGCTGAGTCAAGGGACTGCTACTGGGAGAGAAAAATAAACAACACGTTTCAGCACTGAGTAGAGTTAAACGATGCTCTAAATTCACCAGCATAAGAACTGGACATGCACACTAATCTTTATATATGTATATATTTATCCACACATATACATTTTATACATATATATATATATATATATATATATATATATACACACACACACACACACACACACATTTGCTCCACTTTATCAGTGCACCATTATCCACACAATAAAGGAACATTAGCAAAAGATCCATTGTCCCATCACAACACTTACAAGACCGCAGGAGTTGCTAGAACACTCGCTCTTTTGGACTGAAACAGCTAAGTGGCTCTTAAAAGAGCCTTTGGGGGGTTTTGAGCAAGTCGTGAGCGCTCCGTTTAATTTAAGCGCGCTCTCCGCGGATACGGCGCGCCAGCTGGATGTCCTTAGGCATGATGGTGACCCTCTTGGCGTGGATGGCGCACAGATTAGTGTCCTCGAACAGACCGACCAAGTAAGCCTCGCTAGCCTCCTGCAGAGCCATAACGGCAGAGCTCTGGAAGCGGAGATCGGTCTTGAAGTCCTGAGCGATCTCCCGCACCAGGCGCTGGAAGGGCAGCTTGCGGATGAGCAGCTCTGTGGATTTCTGGTAACGGCGGATCTCCCTGAGAGCCACGGTGCCGGGCCTGTATCGGTGAGGCTTCTTGACGCCGCCTGTGGCCGGGGCGCTCTTGCGAGCAGCCTTGGTCGCCAGCTGCTTCCTCGGGGCCTTACCACCGGTGGACTTACGAGCTGTCTGTTTGGTTCTTGCCATGGTATCGGACAACACTTATCTTTCAAAACGAAAGCGAATGATTTCGTGTCCACACCACCGCTCTTTTATGCGTTGGAGCTGCTCTCCGCCCACTGGGCGTCTTGGATGTGACCGCCTCCCATTGGACGGTCGTCCAAGCGTCACTTAAACGCTATTGGGCGTCTTTTGTCGCGCCAACATTTTCACAAGACACCGCCCCAACGCCGTGGCGGGCTTCTGCATCACAGCCAAACTAATAAGCATGATTTTTCTTTCTTCCTTACACGTGGTGTGTAACGTTATTCTGATTTTTGCTTCGTTCTTTATTACACCGCTGTTATTTCACCTCAAGCCGCGCCATTATACAGGCGTTCCTGTGTGTTTCTGTTTGTGTACAATAAGAACTTCCAAACCAAACTTTTTCAGTGTACAACCGCGGGACATGTGGAGACGCTTCGCCTTTTGTTTCACTCTAATGTACACAACAGCCAATCGATCAACGGCCGCGTTTTGGAAAGCAGGAAGTAAAGAAAAACTGCACTTTCGTCGCTGATGTGGGTGGCTCTTAAAAGAGCCTTTGTTTCTATACAAATCGGAGAAAGAGAAAACCAGATTACTTGGTCTTGGCCGCCTTCTCGGTCTTCTTGGGCAGCAGGACGGCCTGAATGTTGGGCAGCACGCCACCCTGAGCGATAGTCACTCCTCCGAGCAGTTTGTTTAGCTCCTCGTCGTTACGGACAGCCAGCTGCAGGTGACGAGGGATAATACGAGTCTTCTTGTTGTCGCGAGCGGCGTTACCGGCCAACTCGAGGATCTCAGCGGTCAGATACTCCAGCACAGCAGCCAAGTAGACGGGTGCGCCGGCACCGACGCGCTCGGCATAGTTGCCTTTGCGCAGAAGCCTGTGCACGCGGCCCACGGGGAACTGCAGGCCAGCGCGGGAGGAGCGAGTCTTGGCTTTGGCCCTAGCCTTCCCGCCGGTTTTGCCTCTTCCACTCATGTTGCCTTTCAACTGTGTTTATCGAAGTAGGCTGAAATGAACAGCTCTGGTCTTCGAACGCCTTTCATATAGGCAAAGCGGCTGCGTTTCTATTGGCTGAAATGCGACGGCCTCCAACAACCAATCCCATTAGCGCCTTCAAACTCTAGCGTCCGCCCGCTTGTCTTCGCCAAGTCCCCCCCCCCATCTGTTTACAATGAAGGATTAGAAAATGTAGCTTTACATGACTCCTTCTATCACTGTGTAATTTCATTAATCTTTAAAAAGGGGGATCGCAGTGATCTGGACAACTGGCGACAAATAAGTTTAATGAATATAGATTATAAAATCTTGGCTAAAGTGATAGTAAACAGAATGTCAGAAGTCATGAATGAAATCATTGAGGTCGAGCAAACGTGCAATAAAAGAGAGATACATGTGGGATAATCTGCGTGCAATTAGAGACATAATCACAACTAAGAGAGATCAGGACTTTTATATAGTTGGACTAGATCAGAAAAAAGGCTTTTGATTTCCTCTCTAGAGATTATCTGTGGATTGTTTTAAAACACTATGGTTTCCTGGAGAAGTTCATTAATATGATAAAGTTGTTACATAAAGAATCTAAAGTCCAGATTAATGTAAACGGGATTTTAACTAAGGATTTTAAAATAGATAGATGAGTGAAGCAGGGGTGTCCTCTAAGCTCTGCTCTGTATGTGATTGCTGCCAGCCCCCTGCTGCACAAAAGCCCAGAGCCCAGGCTGCAGGGAGTCCAGCTCTCAACCGCAAAGCCACTGAAAATCTCTGCATATGCAGATGACGTCACAGTCTTTGTTAGAAATCAAGCTGAGTTAGACGTCATCAGAGAACATTTTAATACTTATGAAGCAGTAGCTGGGGCAAAGTTAAACAACAGCAAGAGTGAGGCTGTGTGGATAGGAGAGGGAGATCCTGGGATTAACGGATTTTAAACAGAAAGTGCAACAAAACAAACTGGGAGAAAAAAGAACAGGAAATTAAAACAGAATTAGAAAAATGGAAAATCTCAAATTATAAGAGTAGGATTCAAATAATTAAGATGTTTTTTTTTTTTATCTAAGTTGTTTTTAGCTACTATTTTCCCTCCAGATGATAAATTTGTGATGAGATTAAACAAAATGTGTGTTCGTTTTATTTGGGGAGGCAACAGGGAAGTTACTAAGCAAGAGGTCTTATATAAACCCCGAGAGAAAGGAGGCCTCAGTGCGGTGGAGCTGGGGAGAATAGCCTTTTGTAAAAATGTAGCTCAAGCCATGAGCAGAAACTCAGAATGGATAGGGAATAAAAAGTCTTGGGAGAAGAAAAAGGGCAAGGCGAGGCAAAACACCCCTTCTTTTAAGTTAGTTTATGGTGATTTTATATCAAAATATGAACAATTAAATATTGATTGGAAGAATTCCCCAAATAAAACAATTTATAAAATCATACAGGACAGTGATTATGGAGAGATGTTCAATTACAAGCACTTAACACACTGAAGGACAAGTCTGTGTAGAAAACATTTTATACCCAAACACTAGAGAAACTACATGCAAAGACATTGCGCAGAAAGGTACACAAAAACCTTATGTAACATTTCCCCCATACACCCCCCGCCTTCAAACAAATCGCGCTTTCATTCTCATGCACAACACACACACAGAAATTAAAAAACAGCCCTTCAAGCGAAACCGTGGGTGGCTCTTAAAAGAGCCGTTGAGTTTGATGAAGTCTTGGTCACTTCTTACTTGGAGCTGGTGTACTTGGTGACGGCCTTGGTGCCCTCGGACACGGCGTGCTTGGCCAGCTCACCGGGAAGAAGCAGACGCACGGCGGTCTGGATCTCCCTGGATGTAATGGTGGAGCGTTTGTTGTAATGAGCCAAACGAGATGACTCGCCGGCGATGCGCTCGAAAATGTCGTTGACAAACGAGTTCATGATACCCATCGCCTTGGAGGAGATACCGGTGTCGGGGTGGACCTGCTTCAGCACTTTGTACACGTAAATGGCATAACTCTCCTTCCTAGACTTTCTGCGCTTCTTGCCTCCCTTACCAGCCGTCTTGGTCACGGCTTTCTTGGAGCCCTTCTTCGGCGCGGACTTCGCAGGCTCCGGCATTATTCTCTCGTTCTCCAACAAAAACTGAAGAATGAAGAAGGCCGCTCGGGGACGGCTTATTTAGACTTCGATATTCAAATAGACAAATAGACAATCAATGGACAGCAAACAAAGGCACCTTTGCGGACAACTCCCAGCTCTCGCCCAACCCCTCTCCTCTTCCTCCCCCCACCAGCTAAAGACTTTTCCTTTGTTCACCTTCCCGCGCTTTCTTAGTTACCGTGTGTTCTGTACGATAGATTTGTGCCCGTCAGGCTTGTATTGTGTTGTCTTTTTCCCCTTCCACATGTACACACACGCACGTAAGCTAAACACTCACTAACTCACACAGGTGCATAAAACGATAGTTTATAACACTAGTGGGAACCGTGAAGCTAGTTGAAATATTCTCCCCTCCTCTCTTCTGTTGTTCGAGCGTTAGACGCCTATCCGTCTTTAAAAGGTAACTCTCATAAACTCATAAAAGCGCATTAAAACATTGCCCAATTTTTAACACTTCTAGGCGCGTTCAACGTTCACGTTAGTATAATAATAAGATTCTCCCCAACTCCCTTTCCATTTGTGTATATATATATATATATATATATATATACACATACATAACACGCTATCACAAAAGAAATTTTGATACGATCATTTCCGCTAAAGAGATCATACAAAGCAGCTCTTTTGGTGGGTTTAGCGTTGTTCGAGTCGAGCGTTTAACCTCCGAAGCCGTACAGAGTGCGTCCCTGACGCTTCAGGGCGTACACCACATCCATGGCGGTGACGGTCTTTCTCTTGGCATGCTCGGTGTAGGTGACGGCGTCCCTGATCACGTTCTCCAAGAACACCTTGAGCACACCGTGGGTCTCCTCGTAGATCAGACCTGAAATACGCTTGACGCCGCCACGGCGAGCCAAGCGGCGAATAGCCGGCTTGGTGATGCCCTGGATGTTATCGCGGAGCACTTTACGGTGACGTTTAGTGCCTCCTTTACCGAGACACTTACCACCCTTTCTTAAGAGAAACTTGATTTAGTTAGCAACAATTCAACATATAAACAGACAGAGCATAATAAAGACAGCGTACATATACATACCTTAACACCTTACTATTTAAAAATGTCCCATAAGTCAGCGTCTTTGAATGGCGTGTTCAACGTCCGCAGTCTCTTTAGTTCAATTTTAATTTGTTTAAAAACGTTTTCGCTGGAGACGAATTGTTGGTCTATGGTCATCCGACATCTTGTTTTCCATAGTTTAGACTTTACAATAGCGATGACAAACCACAAGAACTCAGGTTTCCTGTTATCTACTTTTTCATCAAAAATCCCATATATTATAGATTTCATATGTATATTTATTTCTAAACCCATATCCTTAACCATCTCCCACACTTCTTGAGAGCGATAACAGTTAAATAAAAAATGGTCTGAAGTCTCTTCTTCTTGGCAATTTGGCATGGGGCATAAAGTGGTTTCACAAAGCAGCTCCATCTTACTACAGCTCTCACTGGCAGCCTTCTTACTGCCATCAGCCATGAGAGATCTCCGTGTCTGTCAGAAAGTTTTTTACATAGACGATTTTTAATACACGTGTAATTTTCTTCTCCTACAAGGTTTCTAAATTCTACCTTTGAGCCATACTCTTCATCAGTTATTAACCCATATATCTTTTTATTTGAATCATTAATCCAATCTTTATCTAAATGTTTTTATTTGTTTATAAAATCACCATATAACAACTTGTTATACTGATGTTCTAGCACGACCCTTTTTTTGATTCCAGTTGGTAATATTTCCAATCCAATCTGCTTGTCTATTTATACCATTTGCAATGATTTTACACACTCTCCATAATCACTGTCCTGTATGATTTTATAAATTGTTTTATTTGGGGAATTCTTCCAATCAATATTTAATTGTTCATATTTTGATATAAAATCACCATAAACTAACTTAAAAGAAGGGGTGTTTTGCCTCGCCTTGCCCTTTTTCTTCTCCCAAGACTTTTTATTCCCTATCCATTCTGAGTTTCTGCTCATGGCTTGAGCTACATTTTTACAAAAGGCTATTCTCCCCAGCTCCACCGCACTGAGGCCTCCTTTCTCTCGGGGTTTATATAAGACCTCTTGCTTAGTAACTTCCCTGTTGCCTCCCCAAATAAAACGAACACACATTTTGTTTAATCTCATCACAAATTTATCATCTGGAGGGAAAATAGTAGCTAAAAACAACTTAGATAAAAAAAAAAAACATCTTAATTATTTGAATCCTACTCTTATAATTTGAGATTTTCCATTTTTCTAATTCTGTTTTAATTTCCTGTTCTTTTTTCTCCCAGTTTGTTTTGTTGCACTTTCTGTTTAAAATCCGTTAATCCCAGGATCTCCCTCTCCTATCCACACAGCCTCACTCTTGCTGTTGTTTAACTTTGCCCCAGCTACTGCTTCATAAGTATTAAAATGTTCTCTGATGACGTCTAACTCAGCTTGATTTCTAACAAAGACTGTGACGTCATCTGCATATGCAGAGATTTTCAGTGGCTTTGCGGTTGAGAGCTGGACTCCCTGCAGCCTGGGCTCTGGGCTTTTGTGCAGCAGGGGGCTGGCAGCAATCACATACAGAGCAGAGCTTAGAGGACACCCCTGCTTCACTCATCTATCTATTTTAAAATCCTTAGTTAAAATCCCGTTTACATTAATCTGGACTTTAGATTCTTTATGTAACAACTTTATCATATTAATGAACTTCTCCAGGAAACCATAGTGTTTTAAAACAATCCACAGATAATCTCTAGAGAGGAAATCAAAAGCCTTTTTTCTGATCTAGTCCAACTATATAAAAGTCCTGATCTCTCTTAGTTGTGATTATGTCTCTAATTGCACGCAGATTATCCCACATGTATCTCTCTTTTATTGCACGTTTGCTCGACCTCAATGATTTCATTCATGACTTCTGACATTCCGTTTACTATCACTTTAGCCAAGATTTTATAATCTATATTCATTAAACTTATTTGTCGCCAGTTGTCCAGATCACTGCGATCCCCCTTTTTAAAGATTAATGAAATTACACAGTGATAGAAGGAGTCATGTAAAGCTACATTTTCTAATCCTTCATTGTAAACAGATGGGGGGGGGGACTTGGCGAAGACAAGCGGGCGGACGCTAGAGTTTGAAGGCGCTAATGGGATTGGTTGTTGGAGGCCGTCGCATTTCAGCCAATAGAAACGCAGCCGCTTTGCCTATATGAAAGGCGTTCGGAGACCAGAGCTGTTCATTTCAACCTACTTCGATAAACACAGTTGAAAGGCAACATGAGTGGAAGAGGCAAAACCGGCGGGAAGGCTAGGGCCAAAGCCAAGACTCGCTCCTCCCGCGCTGGCCTGCAGTTCCCCGTGGGCCGTGTGCACAGGCTTCTGCGCAAAGGCAACTATGCCGAGCGCGTCGGTGCCGGCGCACCCGTCTACTTGGCTGCTGTGCTGGAGTATCTGACCGCTGAGATCCTCGAGTTGGCCGGTAACGCCGCTCGCGACAACAAGAAGACTCGTATTATCCCTCGTCACCTGCAGCTGGCTGTCCGTAACGACGAGGAGCTAAACAAACTGCTCGGAGGAGTGACTATCGCTCAGGGTGGCGTGCTGCCCAACATTCAGGCCGTCCTGCTGCCCAAGAAGACCGAGAAGGCGGCCAAGACCAAGTAATCTGGTTTTCTCTTTCTCCGATTTGTGTATAAACAAAGGCTCTTTTAAGAGCCACCCACATCAGCGACGAAAGTGCAGTTTTTCTTTACTTCCTACCCCCAAAACGCGGCCGTTGATCGATTGGCTGTTGTGTACATTAGAGTGAAACAAAAGGCGAAGCGTCTCCACATGTCCCGCGGTTGTACACTGAAAAAGTTTGGTTTGGAAGTTCTTATTGTACACAAACAGAAACACACAGGAACGCCTGTATAATGGCGCGGCTTGAGGTGAAATAACAGCGGTGTAATAAAGAACGAAGCAAAAATCAGAATAACGTTACACACCACGTGTAAGGAAGAAAGAAAAATCATGCTTATTAGTTTGCCTGTGATGCAGAAGCCCGCCACGGCGTTGGGGCGGTGTCTTGTGAAAATGTTGGCGCGACAAAAGACGCCCAATAGCGTTTAAGTGACGCTTGGACGACCGTCCAATGGGAGGCGGTCACATCCAAGACGCCCAGTGGGCGGAGAGCAGCTCCAACGCATAAAAGAGCGGTGGTGTGGGCACGAAATCATTCGCTTTCGTTTTGAAAGATAAGTGTTGTTCGATACCATGGCAAGAACCAAACAGACAGCTCGTAAGTCCACCGGTGGTAAGGCCCCGAGGAAGCAGCTGGCGACCAAGGCTGCTCGCAAGAGCGCCCCGGCCACAGGCGGCGTCAAGAAGCCTCACCGCTACAGGCCCGGCACCGTGGCTCTCAGGGAGATCCGCCGTTACCAGAAATCCACAGAGCTGCTCATCCGCAAGCTGCCCTTCCAGCGCCTGGTGCGGGAGATCGCTCAGGACTTCAAGACCGATCTCCGCTTCCAGAGCTCTGCCGTTATGGCTCTGCAGGAGGCTAGCGAGGCTTACTTGGTCGGTCTGTTCGAGGACACTAATCTGTGCGCCATCCACGCCAAGAGGGTCACCATCATGCCTAAGGACATCCAGCTGGCCCGGCGTATCCGCGGAGAGCGCGCTTAAATTAAACGGAGCGCTCACGACTTGCTCAAAACCCCCCAAAGGCTCTTTTAAGAGCCACTTAGCTGTTTCAGTCCAAAAGAGCGAGTGTTCTAGCAACTCCTGCGGTCTTGTAAGTGTTGTGATGGGACAATGGATCTTTTGCTAATGTTCCTTTATTGTGTGGATAATGGTACACTGATAAAGTGGAGCAAATTGTGTATGTGTGTGTGTGTGTGTGTGTGTGTGTGTGTATATATATATATATATATATATATATATGTATAAAATGTATATGTGTGGATAAATATATACATATATAAAGATTAGTGTGCATGTCCAGTTCTTATGCTGGTGAATTTAGAGCATCGTTTAACTCTACTCAGTGCTGAAACGTGTTGTTTATTTTTCTCTCCCAGTAGCAGTCCCTTGACTCAGCACACCTGATTCAGCTCATCAAGTGATTATGAACTGGATCATGGGTAGAGGAGCAGGGAATAGTTGGAATACGCTGTAGTGTGGTGTGTTGTCCAAAGCACAATTAAAAAACCCTGAGCTAGGCTTTAGGACTAAAGCATGGATTTAGACGTGTGATATTGTTAGACTGTAATAAAAGTAGTTCTACATCTGGGCATCAGGTTAACGAAGAAGTTAGAATGAGTCAAAGTAACGTTGGAGCTAGGTTTTAGGCTTATGATGACGCTCCAGGAAGTATGAACAGGTACATAGCAAGGCCCCAGGCTTCTGTTGTATTTAGACAAAGTAAAAGTGTGTTTATAGATAGACTGTAGGTTTGTGATGAATTGAGTAAATTGATGTGTAAGTGAAACTAGGTTTACGGTAAGGCCTTAGTGTCATGTTAAAGTTAGAGTGAGTATAAATAAGTTTACAGCTAGGCCAGAGACGTATGATGAAATGAGAGTAAGTAAAAGTAGGTTAGAAGCCAGGCCTTGGCTCTGTGATGTAGAGCCAGGCGCCAGGCTCATGATGTAGTTAGAATAAGTAAAATTAGTCCTCAGACTAATGATAAAGTGCCAGTGAATACAGGGAGGTTAAGCGGTAAGCCTTAGGCTATTGCTGACGTTAGAGTAAGCAAAAACCAGTGCAAGGCCGCATGCTCATGATAATGTTAGAAAAAGCAAAGAGTGGCTTACTTCCCCACCCCCACCCAGGCCTTAATGTAGTGAACTGAGGAAGCTTGAGGTCTAGCTGTGATGCTACTACTCGAATTTCATCGTAAGCATAATGTCTTGCTATGTACCTCCTTCCGTTCAGTCTAACTAGATCATGAGACTAAGGACTAACTCTAAATCTATTTGTATTTACTACAAGCCTGCAGTGGAAGTCTTAAAGTTGAAGTTGGTGAATAATAGGTATAATAGCTATGAATAATATAAATATGAATAACAATAATAATAATAATAATATGAATAAATGAGTAATATCTAGGCCTTGGGCTTCTACGGTAGCTAAAGTGAATGAAAAGAGGAATATAACAAGATATCATGCTTCTGATGAAGCTATGGTGAGAAAGTAGCCGTAGCTACAGAGCTATGCCCTAAGCTTATGAAGAAATTAGAGTGAGCAAAACTATGTTTAGAGATGTGTTTTGAAGTTAGAGAAAGTAAAGGTGAGTTTACAGCGAGGCCTCTGGCATATGATGAGGTCAGAGTTGGTAGTATTGTGTTCAAGGCTAAGCTTTAAGCTTATGACATATTTAAATCAAGCAAAAGTAGTTTTAGAGCTAGGCCATAGCCGTATGATGAAATGAGGACGAGTGAAAGGAGGTACATGAGGTAAGATAAATAAACGTAGAGGGAGGCTTTAAACTCAGGATGTGCTTGGAACAGACGGAAGCAGGCTTAGAGCTATGCATCAGGCTTGTAATGTAGACAGATTTAGTAGGTTAAGAGCCAAGTAAAGTTTACGATGAAGAATGTAAAATGAGGTACAGAAAAAGCCATTAAGCTGAGGATAAAGTTAGAGTAAGCGAAAGGAGGCTGACGGCTATGCCTCAGGCTTATAATGCAGTCACAGTAAGTAATGATAGCTTTAGAGCTAGGCCCTTGGCTTATTGTGAAGTTAGAGCGAATAATACTGGGTAGGCTTTAGGTGGACGATGTAGTTAGATAAGCAACATGATCCTCACAGCTAGGCATCTGGCATCTGATGTAGTCAAACACATAATCGGTTTAGAGCAAAGCTTTTTGCTTATGATAAAGTTAGATTGAACAGCAATTCTCTAAGGACTAGCTCTCTAGCTGCTGTTACTTACCCATTCTCATTCACAGCTAGAGTAAGTAACAGTGGATATAGTGCTAGGCCTTTGGTTTATGTTGGATTTAGTGAGTGAAAAGACGTCGAAAGCATGCAATTTGACTCATGATGAAGTTGGAGAAATGAAAGTAGTTACAAAGAAAAGGAGGCTTCCAGCTAGGCCTCAGGCTTATATCGTAGTTGGAGTGTATGTAAGAGTAGATTCAGAGCTAGGCCCCAGGCTTATGGTGAAGTTAGATAAAGCAATAGTAGGTATGGGGCTCGGCTTCAAGCTTTGGAAGTGTTTACAGTGAGCATGTGTAGGCGCACATCTAGGCCCCAGGCACATGATGAGGTCAAAATAAGTGAAAGCAGGTAAATAAGTAAGTTTCGAGTTAGGAGTGGGGCTTCTGATGTAGTCAGCCGGAATTTATTTATTTATTTATTTATTTGTTTGTTTGTTTGTTTATTTTTTTTATTGTGGCTTACGATGAAGTTAGCGTAAGCGAAAGGAGGCATATAGCTAGGCCTTGTGCCTTTATTGTAGTAAAATAAATAACAGTGGTTTCAGTGCAAGGCCTAAGGTTCATGAGGAAGTTAGAATAAAGCACAAACCTCTATAGGCTCTATAGGTCCTAGGTTACTTACTCTATGCATAGTTTAAGTCTTAGGCTTATGACGAAGTTAATGTGAGCAAAAGTAGCCTTTCAGCTTGGCCTCAGCCTTATAATATAAAATAGAATCAGAAAGAGTAGCTATAGAGCTAGGCCTTAGGTTTACTAAGAAATTAAAGATGTAAAGGTCAGTGAAGGGCAAGGCCTTTAGCTTCTGACGAGGTAAGAATGAGCAATATGAGCTTTTCTGCTAGGCCTCAGGCTTATAATATAGATAGAGTGAGTGATGGTAGGTTTAGAGCTGTGCCCTAGGCTTGTAGTAAAGTTAGGCTACAGTGGTAAAGTTAGGCTAAAGTTAGCTACAGTGCTACAGTTAAAGAATGCCAAAGTAAGCTTAGGGCAGGGCTTCAGGTTTGCGATGGAGTAAGAGTGAGTGAACTGAGATGTATCATTAGACTTCTGATGAAGTTGGAAAATTAAAATCAGGCACAGAGCTAGGCTTTAAGCTCATGCTGTAGAGTAGGCCAGACCTTAGGCTTATTATGTAATTCAAGTAAGTAATATGAGATTTAGAGCTAGGCCTTGGGTTTATGGTGAAGTTAGATAAAGTGAAAGGAGATTTCGGCTAAGACCCTTGACTTTTGCTGAGGTCATAGTAAGCAAAAGCATGTCTACCTTTAAACTTTGGGCCTATAATAAAAGGATTTGAGCAAGACCTCAGGCTTATGATGAAGTTTGGGTGAGTGAAGAGAGATATTTGGAATGTCATTAAGCTTGTGAATAATTTAGAATGACTAAAAGTTGGTTTGGAACTAGGCCTTAGGCTCATGATGTAGTTGGAGTATTTCACAGCTAGTCCCCCCTAGGTTTGTGATGACTTCATTTTCTAGTAGGATTAGAAGGGGTTTAGTTACAGAGAAGAGTTGTCAGGGTAATGCTAATTATGGTTAGAACGAGTTTGTGATTATTTCTCACTAGTAAAGTCAAAGTTTATTTATATAACAGCACATCAGCAGAGAGCAGTCTCTGCCCCCAGCGGCCGCCGGTTTACGCGTGTGCTTTACTCGCTCCAAGAAAGCTCGTTTTACCCATAATCAGCGGGGCGCTCGGCCAGTCGGAGTTCGCTCACGCCCTCGCCGAGGCTCTCCCCGAACGCGGCGTTGAGCTCTTCGGGGGCTCACGCCGCCGTTTGCCACCTTTTTTCACAGATTATTGCGCTAAATACACCACATCTCGTACGGAGCGGCTGGCGCGCGGCGCCCTTTTGAGAGCGCCCTGCGAAACTAGGCGTCGCTGCGCGCCCATTCCCGGACTGAGGAAACACAGCAGAGTCTGTTCTATAAGACCGAGCCGTTGGACGCTCGCCAAGTGCCGCTTTCGCTCTTATTTTGGCTGATAAATGCCACGAGAAAACACAGGTACGAGCGCGTCACTGAGGCACGGCTGCACAGTGCCCGCCGGGTTGAGTCTACACCGTTCTCATGTGGCTTTTAAGGGGCCGACCCCTCGCCTGAGAGGGAGGTTCCTCTGAACAGTGCAGTTCGCGCTCATTCTCGCTCCGCTCGCAGCAAAAGCACAACGATGGCAGAAGTGGCTCCCGTTCCAGCCGCCGCCGGACCGGCCAAAGCTCCCAAGAAGAAAAGCGCCGCCCGGCCCAAGAAAGCCGGCCCCAGCGTCGGCGAACTCATCGTAAAGGCTGTTTCGCAGTCTAAGGAGAGGAGCGGCGTGTCTCTCGCCGCCCTCAAGAAAGCCCTGGCTGCCGGCGGCTACGACGTGGACAAGAACAACTCCCGCGTCAAGATCGCCGTCAAGAGCCTCGTGACGAAGGGCACTCTGGTGCAGACCAAAGGCACCGGCGCCTCGGGCTCCTTCAAGCTCAACAAGAAACAAGCCGAGCCCAAGAAGAAGCCGGCAAAGAAAGCGGCGCCAAAGGCCAAGAAGGCGGCCGCCAAAAAGCCCGCCGCTGCTAAGAAGCCTAAGAAGGTAGCGGCGAAGAAGTCCGCAGCCGCCAAGAAATCGCCGAAGAAAGCCAAGAAACCCGCGGCCGCCAAGAAAGTGGCCAAGTCTCCCAAGAAAGCCAAGAAGCCGGCGGCCCCGAAAAAGGCGGCCAAGAGCCCGAAGAAAGCGAAGGCGGTCAAGCCCAAAGCAGCCAAGCCCAAGGCTGCGAAAAGGGCCGCCCCCAAGAAGAAGTAAACACACCTTTTTACCTTCGTGTCCTGTTTTTTCCTCTCTCCAGAACGGCTCTTTTAAGAGCCACCCACATTTTTCTCTCAAGGAGCTTTGCAATTACATGGATAAGAATAGGAGGGGGAATGGGGTAGGACAACGGCGGAAAAACAAGGACACGTATACGCTTCTTTGTCTCTCTCTCTGCCACACACACACACACACACACAGGCGGCAGCACGAGGGGGAGGGGGGAAGCGGGGTACGTGGACAGGAACGGTGGGCGGGCCCTAGAGTTTGACGGCGATAATACGATTGGTTGTTGTATTTCAGCCAATAGAAACGCAGCCGCTTTGTCTATATGAAGGGTGTTCAGAAACCAGGGCCCTTTATTTTAGCTGTATTCGACGAGCTCGATTGGACTGCGAAATGAGTGGAAGAGGCAAAACCGGCGGGAAGGCTAGGGCCAAGGCTAAGACTCGCTCCTCCCGCGCTGGGCTGCAGTTCCCCGTGGGCCGTGTGCACAGGCTTCTGCGCAAAGGCAACTATGCCGAGCGCGTCGGCGCTGGCGCTCCTGTCTACTTGGCTGCTGTGCTGGAGTATCTGACCGCTGAGATCCTCGAGTTGGCCGGCAACGCCGCTCGCGACAACAAGAAGACCCGTATCATCCCTCGTCACCTGCAACTGGCCGTTCGTAACGACGAGGAGCTCAACAAACTGCTCGGAGGTGTTACCATCGCTCAGGGTGGCGTGCTACCCAACATTCAGGCCGTCCTGTTGCCCAAGAAGACCGAGAAGGCGGCCAAGACCAAGTAATCTGGTTTTCTCTTTCTCTGATTTGTGTATAAACAAAGGCTCTTTTAAGAGCCACCCACATCAGCGACAAAAGTGCAGTTTTTCATTATCAACTACCCGCTCCACCCAAAAGAAAAAGCGGTTCATCAATCTAGGTTTACTGTGTTTACATCGGCGTGAAATAAAAGGCACAGCACCCCATGTCTCCCGACTGCATACTGAGTAAGGGTTTGAAGCATTCTACTCTCACACCTAAAGCAAATTGAAACACAAACGTCCATATAATGAAGCCAGAGTAACGCGTGTAATAATTACGTATAATAAATAGGGAAAAGTAATTAATTTCGAGTCTCGAAAAGCGCTACATATTAAAATGAACACAAAGGCTGTAATACAGGAGCTCGCCACGGCGTTGGGCAAAGTCTCGTTTCTTTCAAAATTTTGGCGCGAGGGGAGACACCCAATCGCGTTTAGCCGGTGAGTGAACGGCCGTCCAATAGGAGGCTGGCACATTCAAGACGCCCAATGAGCGGCGAGCAGTTCCAGTGCCTAAAAGAGCCATAATGTGTGCGGAAGTTTATTCTTTTCCTGGAAAAAACAAACTTCGACACCATGGCAAGAACCAAGCAGACAGCTCGTAAGTCCACCGGTGGCAAAGCCCCGAGGAAGCAGCTGGCGACCAAGGCTGCGCGCAAAAGCGCCCCGGCCACAGGCGGCGTCAAGAAGCCTCACCGATACAGGCCCGGCACCGTGGCTCTCAGGGAGATCCGCCGTTACCAGAAATCCACAGAGCTGCTCATCCGCAAGCTGCCCTTCCAGCGCCTGGTGCGGGAGATCGCTCAGGATTTCAAGACTGATCTCCGCTTCCAGAGCTCTGCCGTTATGGCTCTGCAGGAGGCTAGCGAGGCTTACTTGGTCGGTCTGTTCGAGGACACTAATCTGTGCGCCATCCACGCCAAGAGGGTCACCATCATGCCTAAAGACATCCAGCTGGCGCGCCGTATCCGCGGAGAGCGCGCCTAAATCGGACGGATCGCTTACGAGTTCTTTAAAGACCCCCCAAAAGGCTCTTTTAAGAGCCACCCAACTCTTTCAGTCCAAAAGGGCGAGTGTTCTAGCAACCCCCGAGTTCTGTTATATGCTGTGAAGTCATATTAAAAATCCTCGCGTGAACTTTTTAAAAGCGAGCATCTCCCTGCGGAGTCGTGCGGCGCTGCTGAGATTCGTTGTGTTTGAGCAGAGTCCGTAGTTCAAAGAGAGGTTTCGAGTCTCCCCCTTATAGTAAGGAAAAAGACAACAATGAGAATAAACACGTTAGTACCTGATCAAGGAAATTAGTAGCTGAAGAATGAAATGTGTAGTACAGGCGAGTAGTATGAGCATGTGACACACTGACACTCCGCTCAGTTTTTGCCGAACACTACTAAAAAAAAGCTCTTTGTGATTAAGTGTATAATAGCAGCACCGAATATGTAGTTCAATTATTAATGTGCTGATCAGAGAAAACACAGTGCAGAAAGACCAACTCTGGTGTTTTGGGCTGAGGGCGATTTGTCATCGATGGAGCTTGGATACCACCGTGTGGTCAGAATGTGAACCTGCTAGAAGTAGAATAAGACATACTTTCTTATAATGCAGAAATATTGTGTTTCTGAGTGACTTTTTGAATTAATGTGTTTGTGAGGCTCCGTAAATAAAGTGGGAAATAAAATGGGAAATAGCAACAACCAAATCACATCATTTCATACAGTAGTTCAGCATTTCTAACAAGGAGTCTAATGGTCTTTCTAGGACTTGCCAGTTCACGGTTTGACCACAGGATGGCGCGCAAGCTTCAACAAATTAATGTACTGTATATAGCACACACACATGCATACGTTTGGGTATTATTCTTAGAGAATTCTTACTCCATAACAGTGTGTTGCTTTACATTTGGTGCAGCCTAGATAAACCAATTTTTACTTGTTATTATTAAATAAATATATATATATTTTTCATTTTAAATGTCTTGATTTAAAAGGCTGTGAAATGCTACTACTAATATTGACAATGGTAATAGTAATAGTTATAATGATATGAGTGTTATTTTATACTTTGTGTTTGAGGAACAAATTCCCAAAAAAGGCCTTAGTTTCTGAGATTCCCCCGCAGAGGTAGAACAAAGCACAATCATGTTTTTATGCAACTTCAAAATCTCTGGTTGTGAAATGGATGGTGGTATAAAAATATTTCACTGCAAAACTTGTGTAATTCAGTAATATTTGTAGCTCCCCAAAACCAGAAAATGTGCAAATTTAGTCCTGTGTCCAACTTTAAACTCACCGTGCACAAACACACACTCTGTCTCCTGAAGAAAAGATAACACTGATATCTTTGTCCATTGTCTAAATACAGGCCCTTAAATGTGTGTGTGTGTGTGTGTGTGTGTGTTTGTCATCAGCAGAAACTGACTTAAAAAAATAATATATCAAAAGTCAAAAGTTTTTTTTGGATTATACACTTCATCTTCACACATTATCAGCCCTTAATTCTCTCTCAGAACCAACCTGATCCAGAAACACGCCACAGGAGTCTATTGGTTAAAATGTTTAACATCAAACACAGATTAATAGAAATCATTGAAACAATTATAATTTAAAAATGTAGAACAAAACAGTAAAACTATAGTTCCTAATTATTTACTATATTTTGTGATAAATAATAAATAATGAAATACAAAAATATATCAGGCCAACAAGAAAATAATTTCTCATTTCAGCATCGAACATCAGTATAAAGTTGTTTTTGTAGTTCTTATATTTCTCTTATTAAATTTATAAACGTGTTAAACTCTTTTTTAGGTGATTCCGTCTCACCAAACAGGAAAGCTGAGATATTAAACCTTATTTTCAAGATCAAGGCTGTACAGTGAGTCACAGCAGCAGGTCTACATGTTCAAAAAACAAAAACAGCTGTTGCTTTTAATCTGACATTTTTTAGCGTCATGCCTCTTTGTAACAAAGACACTCTTAACTGTAGTGCAGATGATTCACTTGGTCATCATGTTGCTGTAAAATTACTAATATCTATTTGGTCTTCTGTGATCATTTTTTCAAGGTGTCAGCAGATTTCAAAGGTAGTGTACACTGAGTTACCAGTTAATCAGGTACACTTACCATACAGGTGAATTTAGTAGATAAACAATTACTTTATAATAGCTGTAAAATGTTCTGATTGTCTATCTACACCAGCACCGCAGGACCTTTCTGACCCAGCGCTAACATCTCCACCTCCACCTGCCTCACTGCTTTCCTCAGTGTTGCTCTCCCATTAAATTTGAAGGCAAAATGAATATAGCAGTTTATATTTATATATATATAGTTCATTAATAATAATTTGACTTGTGTACAAATTGCTCTGTAATTGATAACACTTGAACTAATGCGTGATGTTCAGCTCCAGCATCACTTTGTTTTCTGATTCAGGTCAGTGGAGAGCACAGCAGAAGGTTTGGGTTGGTGGTGTTTTCATTTCTCAGCTGTTTTAAGCAGAAACAACATGCTGGCTGAAGTGGTGGAGAAACTGAAGAAGACAGAACTCCGAGCTGCTTGTCCTGCTCCCCGTTACGCTGGACCTGGAGATGTGGAGTGTGATTTCTGCACTGGGAGAAAACTCAGAGCCATCAAGTCCTGTCTGAGGTGTCTGACCTCCTTTTCTGAAAGTCATCTTAAACCTCAGTATGAAGTTCCTGGTTTGAAAGAGCACAAGCTGGTCAAAGCCTCCTCACAGCTACAGGAGAAGATCTGCTGTCAGCACGACAAACTAATCGAGATCTACTGTCGTACTGACCAAAGCTGCATCTGCTATTTGTGTATGGTTGATGAACACAAAGGTCACGATACAGTCTCAGTTGCAGCAGAAAGAACCAAGAAACAGGTGAGAACTAGAAATATTTAGGGATCAAATCATGATAATTATATTTATAATGTAGTGACTCATTAATCAGTTGAATTATTAAACTGTTTCAGTTCTTGCGTTCAAAAGATTTTGAAAGAATGTATTAAATATGTTGTAGATGTTGTAGGAAGTGTTCAGTAAACAGGTCAGACCAGTCAGTGATCATGTAACCAGCCAACACCCATTCAGCCTTATAGTGCTCACATGACAGTGTGAAAGCTCTGTAGAACAAGAGTGGATTTTACTGTTGTAGCTGCTATTAAAACAAATCTTTTTTTGTAGATCATAAATCATAAATTAAATATATCTGTTCATAGAATCAGCTAAAGGAGATGCAGAGTAAATTCCAGCAGAGAATCCAGGAGAAACAGAAGAAGCTGCAGGAGCTGAAACAGGCAGTGAAGACTCTTAAGGTGAGAACTGAGCAGAGATTTGATATTTCAGTCCTCAGTCAGACAGTGAGCAGCTCAGTGTTGGACACTTTTGGATCAAATTCTCAAAATTTCTCCTCCTTATCCCAAATGTAGCTGATCAGCCGAGACATGTTTGGTGTCTGAAGCTTCTCTTTGCACTAGAGCTGCAAGGCTAATGTAGCTAACAAGTAATGGAAGCTTATACCCACGAATTAGCATTGTTCAAACTGTGTATCTTAATCATCATACACTTTCCTCAAACCACACCAAGTTTATATTTAATTTCTAACAGACCTGCCTGTCTGATTTCTGACACCAATATCTATAAAAATGGACAGAATTCTGCAGAGCCAGACAATTTTGTTCATCTGTTTTTCTAGATAACAGTGAGTGTGTTTACATGCCCACCAGTAATATTGTCATTACTGAATTTTGGCAGTTATCTGATTATTCATATGGTCATGTAAACAGCAAGCAAACGTTTCTTAGATCAGATTTCAAGAAATATGATAAAGAGATCAGGATTTTAGCTCAGTAATCATTATTAGTTCGTATAAACTGTTTATGTAATTTACTTCATTTTTCTGCAGTATAAGCTGTTAGAGACGAGCTGCCTGGGAAACAGTCAGCATTAAACACTTACGAGGCCACAAATGACTGTATTATGTGCAATTTGGAGTCATAAAAACTGGCAAATAAAAAAGTAAAAGTGAAGAGACTCCATGATAAAAGCAAAACTGCATCAATAAGTTTTTTAAATACATTTTGCATCACACGCTGCCCTTTGTTGAGTTTATTGGTGAGTTGCTAAGTGACGGAAGAGGTGCACATTGTGTATTTAGTAAGAAATCTGATTATTGACTCGTGTAGATGTGGATTTTTCTCATTATCAGATACTGAAGTGTTTGTGAATGAGTTGAATGGATTATTGCCAAAAATCTGATGTTCTGCTGTTACCAGATTATTATGTATTGTATTTATAGTTGTATGTGTGAATATTCATGTATATATTTGTAATTGTATATATTGTTCAAATAGTTATATATTTCATAGATATGTCATATTTATGCCTGTAATTGCACATTTGCACTGTCCGGTTTGCACTGTTGCTACTATTTGCACTTCTGGCAGATGCTAACTGCATTTCATTTGATTGGAGCGCCTTCATTTCTCTTGTACTCCTTTATCTTTCTCCACTGTGTTTGTTCTCTCTGTAGAGTTTCCAGTCTCTCTGTGTCTCTTCTGGATATAATGTAATAGTAACGAATCTGAATAAATCATAAAATATTAATTAAAATGTACACATAGTTATATTACATACAAGAAATAGTGTATAATGTAATATTAAATAGTGTATAATATACACTGATCAGGCGTAACATTATGACCACCTCCTTGTTTCTACACTCATTGTCCATTTTATCAGCTCCACTTACTATATAGGTGCACTTTGCAGTTCTACAGTTACAGACTGTAGTCCATCTGTTTCTCTGTGTACTTTGTTAGCCCCCTTTTACCCTGTTCTTCAGTGGTCAGAACCCCCATGGACCCTCATATAGCAAGTACTATTTGGGTGGTGGATCATTCTCAGCACTTCAGTAACACTGACATGGTGGTGGTGTGTTAGTGTGTGTTGTGCTGGTATGAGTGGATCAGACACAGCAGTGCTGCTGGAGTTTTTAAACACTGTGTCCACTCACTGTCCACTCTATTAGACACTCCTACCTTGTCAGTCCACCTTGTAGATATAAAAGTCAGAGACGATAGCTCATCTGCTGCTGCAGAGTTTGTGTTGGTCATCCTCTAGTCCTTCATCAGAGGCCACAGGACGCTGCCCACAGGACGCTGTTGGCTGGATATTTTTGGTTGGTGGACTATTCTCAGTCCAGCAGTGACACTGAGGTGTTATTAATGTTAATGTTATGCCTGATTGGTGTACATTAGTATACAGAAGTTTGAACTCCCCCAGTCAAATTACATGTTTTGATGATTTTCAAATTGAGAGTAAGTAAACACACCCTCTGCAAATTTTACTGCACATTTCTAAGCAGTTGCTGAGTTAAACATATTGGAAAAACATAAAAGATAAAACTATATAAAAAATATGCCATAACTTTTGCACAGACTAGATTTTATGTATTATTTTATTATTATTATTAGTTGTGTCTCTGTAGAGAATGTTTTCACATAGTTTCACTTAAAATATATATATATATATATATATATATATATATATATATATATATATCAACGAAATGTCATTTTGCATGTGACTGTGCATAATATCACAATAAATATTAAATATTATTTTCTGTGTTTAAATACTGAGGTTCCATTTTTACAGAAACACACTGCAACATTCAAAAGACAGTTCCTAAATTTAGTTTTCACTCTCCAGATCATACAGTCCAAATATGGAAACCACGACATACAAACAGCTCATTTTTTATTTGTTGTGTTTGTGGTTCATAAAAGACACAGCATATTTACATAGATCCACCTGTTTGGTCCACAGCGGTTTAGCTCCGCCCACTCACACTGAAGTTATAAAGAGTGGTTCAGCTTGAACTGCTTTTTGAGTGAGGCACAATACAGGACAGCCAAGCAGAACATAGCTCATTTACATATATCAGTCTTAATGGCACAGTAACAAAAACAGCCTGTTTGGTTCTACAGGATAAAGAGAGGCTGGAAAATGGACATGTAAAAAAGAGAACTAGGACTTTGTGTAAAAGAGAGAGCGAGAGAGAGAGAGAGAGAGAGAGAGAGAGAGAGAAAGACTCTTCCTGCTAACAGTGACTGATCGTCCCCAACGTCCATTATAAATAAAAAGATTAGAGTTTCTACTGAAACAAAATACACATTCCACTTTAAATATGATCATTTTATCTTTTATCTGCATGAAATCTCACTACATTCTATTCTATTCTATTCTATTCTATTGACTGTGTTGGTCTGTTGTGTGTGTGTGTCTCCACAGCTGCAGCAGTTCAGATTTTATCCTCAGAACCAAAAACCAAAGAAGATTTTCTGCAGTGTATGAGTAACAAACGCACTCACACACACACACACACACACACACACTCACACATAAACTCACTCACACACACACACACACTCACACATACACACACACACACACACTTTCTCACACAGACAGATTTCTCTCTGATCAGTGATCTGATGATCATTAATTACAGTATGGGCTGGAACATGTATTGATCTGTTTGTGATCAAATTAACTGTCTTCCAGAATTTGGAGGAGTTTGAAGCTGAATTTGTGAATATCCGAAGGTAAAATTCTGCTTCATCTATTCTGATGTAGGAGGTTTGTTTATTCCTCAGCTGTCTGAAAGTGAGCCGTCAGTCTGTGTCACTGTTTCTTCTAGTGAGGGTCCATGATTTATTTCTAGTATTGATCAAGGAAGATATTTCAGAGTTGAACCAGGGATTTGATCTGTCTCTGATTGTAATGTTTTATGGGGGTCATGATTGTTTAACACCACCAGGAGTGTTTTGATAAAGAGGTCTAAATCAGTATCTGGGATTTCAGAAGTGTGGTGGATGTCACTGACCACCAGGTCATTTAAGAAGCCTTGGTCATAAAAATGTTTATAATTTCTTCTAACCTCCATCTGAGAGCCTGACTTTATTATGCTTGTGTTTCTAATGTATCCAATAGGGCAGTGGTCACTAAAACCAGGGTCAAATACACCTGTAGAGGTAATTTTATCAGGTCTGTTGGATAAAATTAAATCTATTAGTGTTGACTTGGTGGGGTCATTTAAATTTAGTGGTGTCGATTCTGTAATTAGTTCCGTTAGAGACAGATTCGCACACATTTCCTTCAAGTGATCATATGTATTAGTTAACCAGTTCAGATTGAAATAACCTAAAATCAGCATTTCTGAGTTGATTTATGGGTTTAAAAGTTCAGCTAAATCGTCTACAGTATGAGAGGAGCAGAAGGAGGTCTATAGATCCAACTACCACAACACTGTTACTGCGTCCTGAGCAAACTTTTAGGGCTAAAATGTCCAGCACCGAATATGTAGTTCAATTATTAATGTGCTGATCAGAGAAAACACAGTGCAGAAAGACTAACTCTGGTGTTTTGGGCTGAGGGCGGTTTGTCATCGCTTGGTCGCCACCGTGTGGTCAAAATGTGAACATGTAGAATAGAAGATACTTTCATAAAATGTGGAAATATCGTTTTACCCTTTTAAATATCGTTTTAATAATTTTAGAGTAATTACAACAACTAAACCACATCATTTCATACAGTAGTTCAGCATTTACAACAAGGAGTCTAATGGTCTTTCTCGGACTTGCCAGTTCACGGTTTGACCAGAGGACGGCGCCCAAGCTTCATCAGTGACGTGCACAAGAGCTTTATTTCCTACAACAACAACAACAAAAAAAAATTTCATATGTAACACTACACTGTATACATAATACACACACATTCGTGTTCATATGTTTTGGCCTTATATTTTTCTTACAGACTTTCTTTCTGTCTTGTTTTTTCTCGGTTTTTTTTCTTTTGTACGTCGGACAATTATTGACGTTTTGTCTTTTAATGACATGAGATTTATAAGGCCGTCAAATACTACTAATAATAATGTCAGTGGTAACAGTAACACTAATTGTTTGTTTCATGGCAGTTTTTGCTTTGTGTGTTTTCTCTGTAGAGTCGGTTGTGTGTAGCTCCTCCTCCCGTCCCTTGGTTTCAACTAGGTCCTGTAGAGGAGCATAACAGGCACGTTAGGTGATGCAGTGTCTTATTCATTTTGTGAACTGCAACTCAAAGAGGAGATAGTAACCATGTCTGGAAGAGGAAAGGGCGGTAAAGGTCTCGGTAAAGGAGGCGCTAAGCGTCATCGCAAAGTGCTGCGCGATAACATCCAGGGCATCACCAAGCCAGCTATCCGCCGCTTGGCTCGCCGTGGCGGTGTCAAGCGTATTTCAGGTCTGATCTACGAGGAGACCCGCGGTGTGCTCAAAGTGTTCCTGGAGAACGTGATCAGGGACGCCGTCACCTACACCGAGCATGCCAAGAGAAAGACCGTCACCGCCATGGATGTGGTTTACGCTCTGAAGCGTCAGGGTCGAACCCTGTACGGCTTCGGAGGTTAAACGCTCGACTAGAACAACACTAAGTCCAACGGCTCTTTTAAGAGCCCCCCCACACATCCACCAAAAGAGCTGCTCCTTATGATCCGTTTAGTAGTGATTTAATGCCAAATCAACCGTAGAAAGTCATGTAGAATATTTTATATTTCGACTGGGGTGAGTTAGTCTAACAGCGTTTTCTGAAACCTAAAGTCATTTAGTCAATAAAGCCGTTATTGTTCATCGTAAAGGCATCGCAAGTTCACCTTTTACAGCAAAAAACGGTCAAACGCCAGCGCTGTTCTCCAGCAGAACCCGAGAAATCCGTTCGAAATAAAAGATTCTTAAAAGAAATTTGTATGCGTTACATGGATTTGTTTAACTCAAACACGGATTGATTTAGATAAATAATTTTTCAATAAAGTTTAGTTTTCTAAGTAAGATGTTTTAGTAAAAAATCAGGACAATCCAACAACAGTTTGAGATTTAAATTGCACAATAGAAAATATGATTTATGAAAACTTATTAAAATGGAGATATCTATTTTGGCAAAACTTAAAACCTCTCAAAACTGTTTAAAAATGTGACACTATTTTATGAAATAGAACAACAACAAAACGCTTATATTTAGAATAAATGTGGGCAAATGTGTTGTAGAGGACACAGTAGATCAGAATGAGCGGGAAAGAGAACAAAGGGACAGCTAGTAGGAGGAGGAGGAGGAGGAGGAGGAGGAGGGAGGAGGGAGAGGGGAGAGGGAGGAGGGGGAGAGGAGGGGAGGGAGGGGGAGAGGGAGGGGGAGGGGGGAGGGAGGGGGAGGGGGAGGGGAGAGGGAGGGGAGAGAGAGGAGGGGGAGGAGAGGAGGGGGGAGGGGGAAGGGGGGAGGGCTGGGCGAGAGCTGGGAGTTGTCCGCCAAGCGAGCCGTTGACTGTTGTCCAATGACCGTTTGACAGCATTGTGTAGGCGGAGCTTGATCGATTTTGAACATCGGAGTCTAAATAAGCCAGTGCCGCGCGCTCTTACTCATTCTTCAGGTTTATTCGAAGAGGAGAACCATGCCTGAGCCTGCGAAGTCTGCCCCGAAGAAGGGATCTAAGAAAGCCGTGACCAAGACGGCTGGCAAGGGAGGCAAGAAGCGTAGAAAGTCTAGGAAGGAGAGTTATGCCATTTACGTGTACAAGGTGCTGAAGCAGGTCCACCCCGACACCGGTATCTCCTCCAAGGCGATGGGCATCATGAACTCGTTCGTCAACGACATTTTCGAGCGCATCGCCGGCGAGTCGTCCCGTTTGGCTCATTACAACAAACGGTCCACCATCACCTCCAGGGAGATCCAGACCGCCGTGCGCTTGCTTCTTCCTGGCGAGCTGGCTAAGCACGCTGTGTCCGAGGGCACCAAGGCCGTCACCAAGTACACCAGCTCCAAGTAATAAGTGACGATTTCATCAAGCTCACCGGCTCTTTTAAGAGCCACCCACCGTTTCGTCTGAAGAGCTGTTTTTTTCTTGTGCATGTGAATGACAACACAATTTTACTTGTATGGGGGAAGAATGTTTTCTGAAGTTCTGAAGCCATATTAGGTTTCCCGCCCAATTTTTTGCTAAGGTCATAATTACTGTTGTGCCAGTAATGGGACACTTTGGTAAAATAAGCTGGGCGTAGGGAACGTGTGTGCGTGTATATCTATGTATTTGTGTGTATATATTCTTCTGTGTTTGCGTCACTGAGTGATTTCCTGAAATGCTGTGTTTGTGAGGCTCAGTCAATAAGATGGGAAGTAAAATGACATATAGTAATTACAAAAATCAAACCACATCATTTCATACAGTAGATAAGCATTTACAAGAAGGATTCTGTTGGACTTGCCAGTTCACGGATTGACCACAGGATGGCGCCCTATCTTCGTCTCTGACATGTGCATGAGAGCCACAGCGTTTATTTATACGTTATTATATATATATATATATATATATATATATATATATATATATATATATATATATATATATACACACACATTAGTTTTTGTATTATCTTATTTCATATGCTTTATATATAGAGCAGCCTAGATGAACCTGCTTTGACTTATTTTCTTTTTACTTTTGATATTTTCTTAAATTAAAATGAGTTTTTTCTTTCGTTCGTTCGTTTTTCTTTGTTCTTCTGTTATTTTTCTTCTTGTCCTTGGGACAATTTTTGACGTTTTGTTGCAAAATGGCATGATATTTAGAAGATTGTGAAACGCTACTACTAACGATGACAATGACAATAGTAATAGTTATATATTGTTATTTAATTCATGGCAGTATTTGCCTTGTTTTCTCCGATCCCATCGTGTTGCTGTTTTGTCTGTAGTGTCGGTTGGGCGTGGCTCCGCCTCCCGTGACTTGGTTTCAACTAGGTCCTGTAGAGGAGCATAACAAGCGCGTTAGGCGTTGCGAATTCTCACTCGTTCTTTTTTCGTCGAGTTCGAGAAGGAACAGCGGCCATGTCTGGAAGAGGGAAAGGTGGCAAAGGACTCGGTAAAGGAGGCGCTAAGCGTCATCGCAAAGTGCTCCGCGATAACATCCAGGGCATCACCAAGCCGGCTATCCGCCGCTTGGCTCGCCGTGGCGGCGTCAAGCGTATTTCAGGTCTGATCTACGAGGAGACCCGCGGTGTGCTTAAGGTGTTCCTGGAGAACGTGATCAGGGACGCGGTCACCTACACCGAGCATGCCAAGAGGAAGACCGTTACCGCCATGGATGTGGTGTACGCTCTGAAACGTCAGGGACGCACTCTGTACGGCTTCGGAGGTTAAACGCTCGACTCGAACAACGCTAAACCCAACGGCTCTTTTAAGAGCCCCCCACACACCCACCAAAAGAGCTGCTTTGTATGATCTCTTTAGCGGAAATGATCGTATCAAAATTTCTATTGTGATTGCGTGCTATGTATGTAGATATACTACTATTACTATTGTTTTTATTTTTTAACGACAGCTTTGTTAGTCTGATGCCAGCACAAATGAAGAGGGAGTTTGGGAGAATCTTATTATACTAGCGTTATAAAGGAGCCTAAAAGGGTTAAAAATTGGGCCATTTTTTTTAATGCGCTTTCATGAGTTTATGAGAGTTACCTTTTAAAGACGGATAGCGTCATCTTAGTCTAACGCTCGAACAACAGAAGAGAGGAGGGGAGAATATTTCAACTAGCTTCACGGGTCCAACAAGTGTTATCGTTTTATGCACCTGTGTGAGTTAATGAGTGTTTAGCTTACGTGCGCGTGTGTACATGTGGTAGGGGAAAAAAACAACACAAAACAAGCCTGACAGGCACACATCTATCGTACAGAACACAAGGTAGCTAAGAAAGCGCGGGAAGGTGAACAAAGGAAAAGTCTTTAGCTGGTGCGGGAAGGGGGAGGAAGAGGAAGAGGAAGAGGAAGAGGAGGGGGATTGGGCGAGAGCTGGGAGTTGTCCGCAAAAGCAGCCTTTGAATGCTGTCCAATGATCGTTTGACAGCATTGTGAAGGCGGAGCTTTGTCTATTTGAATATCGGAGTCTAAATAAGCCGGCACCGAGCAGCCGTCTTCATTTTTCAGTTTTTTGTCGGAAGAAGGAAACAATGCCTGAGCCTGCGAAGTCCGCGCCGAAGAAGGGCTCCAAGAAAGCCGTGACCAAAACGGCTGGCAAGGGAGGCAAGAAGCGCAGAAAGTCCAGGAAGGAGAGTTATGCCATTTACGTGTACAAGGTGCTGAAGCAGGTCCACCCCGACACCGGCATTTCCTCCAAGGCGATGGGCATCATGAACTCGTTCGTCAACGACATTTTCGAGCGCATCGCCGGTGAGTCGTCCCGTTTGGCTCATTACAACAAACGGTCCACCATCACCTCCAGGGAGATCCAGACCGCCGTGCGCCTGCTTCTTCCCGGTGAGCTGGCTAAGCACGCCGTGTCCGAGGGCACCAAGGCCGTCACCAAGTACACCAGCTCCAAGTAAGAAGTGACCAAGACTTCATCAAACCCAACGGCTCTTTTAAGAGCCACCCACAGTTTCGCTTGAAGGGCTTTTTTAATTTTTTTTTTTTCAATTGTTTTTTTTTTTGTGTGTGTTGTGCATGAGAATGAAAGCGCGATTTGTTTGAAGGCGGGGGGTGCATGGGGGAAATGTTAAATAAGGTTCTTGCGTACTTTCCCGCGCAATTTCTTTGCACGTAGTTTCTCTTTTGTTTGGGTAAGGGGCACAATATGAACATGCACACAGATACTTGCGTGTTTAATAAGTGGATAATAATTGAAAAGGTTATGGTACATATCCTGCAGAGGTATGCTGTAGTTAGTAAGTTTAAGTTTGGATCCAAGGTTAACAGGAGGAGTTCGGTTTTTCTTGCCACTGCACATAGAAAGTCATTACTAATCAGAAGTGAAATTATGGGAAAGCCCCGGGCTCCACATAATAATCGAGTTTTGCATTTAGATGGATGAAAACAGGAGCGGGAATGGGGTAGAAAGCGTTATTTCTTTCCCTCTTTGTCTTCGTCCTCACTCACATACACAGGAGACGGCACGAAGGGGCGGCGCCGGGCGGGGGGGGCTTGGTGAAGAACAGCGGGCGGACCCTAGAGTTTGACGGCGCTAATGGGATTGGTTGTTGGAGGCCGTCGCATTTCAGCCAATAGAAACGCAGCCGCTTTGCCTATATGAAGGGCGTTCGGGCGACCAGCGCCTTTCGTTTCAGCTTACTTCAGTAAACTCGGTTGAAAGGCAGAATGAGTGGACGAGGCAAGACCGGCGGTAAGGCTAGGGCCAAAGCCAAGACTCGCTCCTCCCGCGCTGGCCTGCAGTTCCCTGTGGGCCGCGTGCACAGGCTTCTGCGCAAAGGCAACTATGCCGAGCGCGTCGGCGCTGGCGCTCCCGTCTACTTGGCTGCTGTGCTGGAGTATCTGACTGCTGAGATTCTCGAGTTGGCCGGTAACGCTGCTCGCGACAACAAGAAGACTCGTATTATTCCTCGTCACCTGCAGCTGGCTGTCCGTAACGACGAGGAGCTAAACAAACTGCTTGGAGGAGTTACCATCGCTCAGGGTGGTGTGCTGCCTAACATTCAGGCCGTCCTACTGCCCAAGAAGACCGAGAAGGCGGTCAAGTCCAAGTAAATTGGCTTTGTTCACTGACTTGTAAATAATCAAAGGCTCTTTTAAGAGCCACCCACCTCAGCGACAAGAGTGCAGTTTTTTTTTCCACTACCTACCACCAAAAAAGAGAGGCGGCCGTTGATCGATCGGTTGTTGTCTGTACAGTAGAGTGAAACAAAAGGCAACGCATTTCCACATGTCCCGCAGTTGTGTACTGAAAAAAAAGAAAGTTCCTATTGTACTCATATACACATGAAGTGAATAGAAACACACAGGAACGTCTGTGTAATGGCGCGGGTTAAGGTGAAATAACAGCGGTGTAATAAAGAATGAAGCAAAAATCAGAATAACGTTACACACCACTTACAAGGAAGAAAAAAAATCATGCTTATTTGGCTGTGATGCAGAAGCCCGCCACGGCGTTGGGGCGGTGTCTTGTGTTTTGAAAATATTGGCGCGACAGAAGACGCCCAATAGCGTTTAAGTGACGCATGGACGGCCGTCCAATGGGAGGCGCTCACTTCCAATACGCCCAGTGGGCGGCGAGCAGCTCCAGTGCATAAAAGAGCCGTAGTGTGCGCGCGAGTTTCATTCGTTTTGTGTTTGAAAAAAAAAGGCTAGGCTAGGCTTCGACACCATGGCAAGAACCAAGCAGACCGCTCGTAAGTCCACCGGTGGCAAAGCCCCGAGGAAGCAGCTGGCTACCAAGGCTGCTCGCAAAAGCGCCCCGGCCACAGGCGGCGTCAAGAAGCCTCACCGCTACAGGCCCGGCACCGTGGCTCTCAGAGAGATCCGCCGTTACCAGAAATCTACAGAACTGCTCATCCGCAAGCTGCCCTTCCAACGCCTGGTGCGGGAGATCGCTCAGGACTTCAAGACCGATCTCCGCTTCCAGAGCTCTGCCGTTATGGCTCTGCAGGAGGCTAGCGAGGCTTACTTGGTCGGTCTGTTCGAGGACACTAATCTGTGCGCCATCCACGCCAAGAGGGTCACCATCATGCCTAAGGACATCCAGCTGGCCCGGCGTATCCGCGGAGAGCGCGCTTAAATTAAACGGAGCGCTCACGACTTGCTCAAAACCCCCCAAAAGGCTCTTTTAAGAGCCACCTAACTGTTTCAGTCCAAAAGGGCGAGTGTTCTAGCAGCTCGAGTTCTCGTAAGTGCTGTGACGTAGCAATGGATCTTTTGCTAATGTTCTTGAGCAATTTCTTAGTCTGCCTGTAGTTCCTCTATTGTGTGGATAATGGTACACTGATAAAATACAGCAAATGTTGCGCATATATATAGAGAGAGAGAGAGAGAAGCATGAGTTCATGACTAACAAAAAATATTTATATGTACATATACATATTTGTACATATTTTTATTTAAATGTAGTTTAAGCAAATTATATAATTAAAAGCAATAACAAGGCATGAGAATGTGATGTGAAAGGGAAGCCTTTTTTTTATGAGAAAAAAACGTTGGTCTCAATTTTTTGCCTTTCCTCCTTCCAGTGCATGTGAATTTATGAATGCAAGTCATTGTGTGCACATATGCATATTTGTATTAACAATTAGAGATGTTTGTCTACAGATCATTTTCATGCTCTTTTTGTATGTGTATGTATATTTATGCTTTTGAAGGCTTTCCAGTGTGGAGTCAGAAAAGACTTGTGTGTGGGGAAAATAGAAAGAGTTATAAGCTAAATATATATATATATATGTGTGTGTGTGTTAGGTTAGTGTGCATGTCCAGTTCTTATGCTGGTGAATTTAGAGCATCGTTTAACTCTACTCAGTGCTGAAACGTGTTGTTTATTTTTCTCTCCCAGTAGCAGTTCCTTGACTCAGCACACCTGATTCAGCTCATCAAGTGATTATGAACTGGATCATGTGTGGTGGAGCAGGGAATAGCTGGAATACGCTGTAGTGTGGTCTGTTGTCCAAAGCACAATTAAAAAACCCTGAGCTAGGCTTTAGGACTAAAGCATGGATTTAGACGTGTGATATTGTTAGACTGTGATAAAAGTAGTTCTACATCTGGGCATCAGGTTAATGAAGAAGTTAGAATGAGTCAAAGTAACGTTGGAGCTAGGTTTTAGGCTTATGATGACGCTCCAGGAAGTATGAACAGGTACATAGCAAGGCCCCAGGCTTCTGTTGTATTTAGACAAAGTAAAAGTGTGTTTATAGATAGACTGTAGGTTTGTGATGAATTGAGTAAATTGATGTGTAAGTAAAACTAGGTTTACGGCCAGGCCTTAGTGTCATGTTAAAGTTAGAGTGAGTACAAGTTTACAGCTAGGCCAGAGACGTATGATGAAATGAGACTAAGTAAAAGTAGGTTAGAAGCCAGGCCTTGGCTCTGTGATGTAGAGCCAGGCGTTAGGCTCATGATGTAGTTAGAATAAGTAAAATTAGTCCTCAGACTAATAATAAAGTGCCAGTGAATACAGGGAGGTTAAGCGGTAAGCCTTAGGCTATTGCTGACGTTAGAGTAAGCAAAAATAGTACTACATAGGGTCATCACTAATCCTTTGTCTTCTAAAGAAGTCAGAGTAAGTCAAGGCAGCTGTAGAGCTAGGCCTCAGGCTAAGGAGGACGTTACTTTGAGCAAGTTATTGGTTAGCCAGGCTCATGATGAAGTAAGAGTGAGCACATTTATATGTACACATTGGCCTCAGGCAAATGGTAAAGTTACAGTGGGTACAAGTAGGTTTAAAGCTAGGCCTCAGACATCTGATGAAGTTAGAGTGAGCAAAAGGAGGCTTACAGCTGGGCCTCAGACTTCTATTGAGGTTATAGTGTGTAATAACAGGTGCAGGGCTAAACCTTAGGCATATTGTGTACTTAGAGCTAGACCATGGGGACATGATGAGGTTAGAGAAAGTAGAAATGAGATTAGGACTAGGGCATAGGCGTATGATGAAGTCAGAGTAAACAAAAATGGGCTTCCATCTAGGCCCCAGGCTTATGCTGATGTGCAAGTATTTAGAAACAGGTTAATGGCAAGGGCTTTGGCTCCTGATGTAGTTAGTGTTAATGAACAGAGGTAGAGGGCAAGCTATTAGACCAACGATGAAGTTCTGATGAGAAAGTAAAAGTAGGGACAGTGCAAGGCCTTATGCTCATGATAATGTTAGAAAATGCAAAGGGTGGCTTACTTCCCCACCCCCACCCAGGCCTTAATGTAGTGAACTGAGGAAGCTTGAGGTCTAGCTGTGATGCTACTACTTGAATTTCATCGTAAGCATAATGTCTTGCTATGTACCTCCTTCCATTCAGTCTAACTAGATCATGAGACTAAGGACTAACTCTAAATCTATTTGTATTTACTACAAGCCTGCAGTGGAAGTGGTAAAGTTGAAGTTGGTGAATAATAGGTATAATAGCTATGAATAATATGAATATGAATGATAATAATAATATGAATAAATGAATAATAGCTAGGCCTTGGGCTTCTACGGTAGCTAAAGTGAATGAAAAGAGGAATATAACAAGATATCATGCTTCTGATGAAGCTATGATGAGAAAGTAGCCGTAGCTACAGAGCTATGCCCTAAGCTTATGAAGACATTAGAGTGAGCAAAACTATGTTTAGAGATGTGTTTTGAAGTTAGAGAAAGTAAAGGTGAGTTTACAGCGAGGCCTCTGGCATATGATGAGGTCAGAGTTGGTAGTATTGTGTTCAAGGCTAAGTTTTAAGCTTATGACGTATTTAAATCAAGCAAAAGTAGTTTTAGAGCTAGGCCATAGCCGTATGATGAAATGAAGACGAGTGAAAGGAGGTACATGAGGTAAGATAAATAAACGTAGAGGGAGGCTTTAAACTCAGGATGTGCTTGGAACAGACGGAAGCAGGCTTAGAGCTATGCATCAGGCTTGTAATGTAGACAGATTTAGTAGGTTAAGAGCCAAGTAAAGTTTACGATGAAGAATGTAAAATGAGGTACAGAAAAGGCCATTAAAGGAGGATAAAGTTAGAGTAAGCGAAAGGAGGCTGACGGCTATGCCTCAGGCTTATAATGCAGTCACAGTAAGTAATGATAGCTTTAGAGCTAGGCCCTTGGCTTATTGTGAAGTTAGAGTGAATAATACTGGGTAGGCTTTAGGCGGACGATGTAGTTCGATAAGCAACGTGATCCTCGCAACTAGGCGTCTGGCATCTGATGTAGTCAAACACATAATCGGTTTAGAGCAAAGCTTTTTGCTTATGAAGAAGTTAGATTGAACAGCAATTCTCTAAGGACTAGCTCTCTAGCTGCTGTTACTTACCCATTCTCATTCACAGCTAGAGTAAGTAACAGTGGATATAGTGCTAGGCCTTTGGTTTATGTTGGATTTAGTGAGTGAAAAGACGTCGAAAGCATGCAATTTGACTCATGATGAAGTTGGAGAAATGAAAGTAGTTACAAAGAAAAGGAGGCTTCCAGCTAGGCTTTAGGCTTATATCGTAGTTGGAGTGTATGTAGGAGTAGATTCAGAGCTAGGCCCCAGGCTTATGGTGAAGTTAGATAAAGCAATAGTAGGTATGGGGCTCGGCTTCAAGCTTTGGAAGTGTTTACAGTGAGCATGTGTAGGCGCACATCTAGGCCCCAGGCACATGATGAGGTCAAAATAAGTGAAAGCAGGTAAATAAGTAAGATTCGAGTTAGGAGTGGGGCTTCTGATGTAGTCAGCCGGAATGTATTATTCATTCATTCATTCATTCATTAATTAATTAATTAATTAATTTTATTGTGGCTTATGATGAAGTTAGCGTAAGTGAAGTGATGCCTAAGGACATCCAGCTGGCGCGCCTTATCCGCGGAGAGCGCGCCTAAATCGGACGGATCGCTTACGAGTTCTTTAAAACCCCCCAAAAGGCTCTTTTAAGAGCCACCCAACTCTTTCAGTCCAAAAGGACGAGTGTTCTAGCAACCCCCGAGTTCTGTTATATGCTGTGAAGTCATATTAAAAATCCTATGAAGAGCGCGTGAACGTTTCAGAACTTTTTAAAAGCGAGCATCTCCCTGCGGAGTCGTGCGGCGCTGCTGAGATTCGTTGTGTTTGAG